GCATTTTTTATATATTTTTCATATATACATATATACGATTTATATAAATATATGAAAAATTGATGTGGGTACTCAAATGAAAGGTCTCGATGAGTGTAACATCGGGATGAGCTTATATTTTTAAAAATGTCATTATTTCACAAGATACCAGGTCATTTCTTAATTATTGAGATTTTTAAAGATATAAGCTCATCCTGATGTTATACTCATCAATAGCATTCATTTGAGTACCCACATGCATTTTGATATATTTTTCATATATTTATATATATAAATATATAAAATATATGAAAAATTGATGTGGGTACTCAAATAAAAGGTCTCGATGAGTGTAACATCGGGATGAGCTTATATCTTTAAAAATGTCAATAATTCACAAGATTCAAGGTCATTTCTTAATTATGTATCTAGAAATAGAGCATTTTCGAACGCAGCCTAAACACTTATCATAATAAATTAACTATCGGTGAGAATAAAATGTAACCTTGAAAAGACACAAATTCAAGTCAAGACCTTTGCAATGACACTAAATTTAACTAAAAAAACCGATTCTATCATATGACCATCCTGGAAACAAAATTTTTCTTATTCTCTTAATAATATAGATTAAAAAAAAATTTTTTTTATCAAATAATAAAAATTTTTTATTAAATGTCAACAACAGATACCTCAACAACAAGTACAACAAGTTCAAGTTCAACAACAACAAATAATGCACATGAGTCCACCACGCGGTGATCCTTTATCGAGTCCACCACCAGTAGCCGGTCCTCAATCATCTCACGTGCAGAGACCACCACCCTCAAACGTATGCATGCGTCATGGATGTCCCAACCCTCCGATCGTCAATAGCGAGTGGGAAGATGAGTATTGCAGTAATGAGTGCGTGGCTAGCCACTGCAGGTTTGTGTGAGCATTCAATTTTTACCTGATTTTTTAATTGACCGAAAAATTCAAAAAAAACAAGTTAATAATAAAATTATTATTTCATTTTTACAGGGACGTGTTTACCGGATGGGTCGCATCGAACCAAAATTCCCAACCGAACTTTTCAACGGTTAAGTAAATTAAAGAAGAAAAATACTAATAATAAATTATTGATATAATAATTAAGGAAGATAATTTTTGGATTATACTAGGTACCACAAGTTACAAGTTTATAATTTACTCGTATCGTAAAATAACGTTTAAGATAAATTTTAAAATGATAACCCACGAGTTTGTGGGCCTGTTGACCCGTTAAAGTAAAATAAGTTTACACAATATATATGTACATAAGTTAATTAATTAAAATAAAAAGAAGAAAAGAAGAAAATGATGAAAAAAAAAAAAAAAAAAGGTTTAATAAGACAAACATGAGTTCTGATTTGCTGGGAGACAAATCACGCATTTTTGATCTGACAACGACTGTCTATCTGGTAAATGCGGTTACAATTTATTATTACGCCAACTGAGAAGGCTAATGAGCTATTTGACTGTGAATTATTAACAAGAAGAAATTGTTGTTTATTAATTAACAAAAGTTGAGTTAATTATTTAATATTGATAATGATAACTATTTTTTTTTTTTTTAATACATTATCTGATTGAACGTTTACATAACAATGTTGCAAAGATTTTTTTTTACACTGTAAAATTTAGTAACAATCAAAAAATTTTAATTTTTTTAACTTTCCTGTGTAAAAATTATGATGAGGTTCATTATGAATCTCATATTTTGACACAAATATGAGATTCATATAAAAGCCATATTAATATACATTTGATACTCGTAATAAGTAAAATATTTTTGGGAACAAATTTTTTTTTTAACTACACGGAAAGAACAAGATGACAGCTCTTATAAATTTATTAAATTTCGTTTCATATAATCTAATACTACGTCTATTACTATTATATATTACTCAGAGCTTTTAGCAAACGATTATTTTTTATTTCGCTTATTTATTCATTCTCTAATTAAGAAAAAAAAAATTACTTCTACACGAAAAGAACAAGATGACACTGAATATCATCCTAGATTATACTCAGTGATATCTGTGGTGAAAAAATCACCGAATATCATCGAATAACATAATATTAATCACCGAATAACATCACTGAATATCATCCAGATTATACTGTGTGATATTTGGATTATACTCATTGTAATCCGGATTATACTAGCTACTATCTGAAATTTTTTTCACTCAATATAATCTAGATTTTCCTAGCTACTATCTGAAATTTTTTTTTTTTTCATCAAAGATATCACTGAGTATAATCTGGGATGATAACCAGTGTCATCTTGTTCTTTCCGTGTATAGTGCATGATAAAAATTCTTTTTTTCTCAATTTTTATACTTTATCTCCGATTAACAAAAAAAATGAATATTTTACAAATCTGCTTAGAAAAAAATTAGTTTACATAAGTATTTTACTTATTACGGCTTTTAAATGAATATTAAAATGGTTTTTATATGAATCTCATATTTGGGTCAATATATGAGATTTATTACGATATTCAGATGATTTTTACACGGGTCTTAATTTTATTTAAAAATTCATTAAAATAATTTTATTTGAAATTGTAAGAAAAAGTGTATTTTTCATGTATCTCAATACGATAAATTTCATCTTAAATAATAAAATATTTATATACATATGAACTGAATGTACTACCGTAATTAAATGACTTTTAAAAGTCACATTCCTGATTTATTTATTTCACTATATTTATGTCAGTGTATACACATAAATATCTAAAAATGTATTAATATTAAAGTGTATTATCGATAATATTTACCTGCATATTTGACAGTTTTAATAGTCATTAAAGTACAATAAAAATATTAAAAAAAAAAAAAAAAAAAAAAAAAAAAAAAAACGAGTACAGAGTACAGACAGAGAAAAAAAATTAATTGGCAATAATTGTAATCCTGAATAAATTTTATTTTTACCATTATATTTATAGTAATAAAGTAAACTTCGTATACGTATGCGTATATATACTTATTAAATGTTTATAATAAAAATTATAACAATTGCATTGTCTAATTACATGAAACTTTATTTAATTAATAAATAATTATATTTAAAAGGAACCTTGACAGTCACATTGCTTGCAGTATTTTATTAAAAATTAAAAAAAAATTTATTTGTGCCAGCATCAGGAGTTTTAAATGTTACGTTTATATTTTATAAAATAATATTTTGTATTAATATTAATTAATTTGGTATTATTAAATAGCCAGCGATAAATGCGCGATGTACCTACAGTACACATTTATTATTATTATTATACTATTATTTTTTTGTTATTATAATTAATTAATTAATTAATTATTAATTTATAAGTAAATATTATAAAATGACTGCAGGATTGTTTTTAATTTTTTTATAATAAAAAATTTAGGACAATTATCTTAATTATTTTTTTTTCTTCTTTATATTTGAATTATTTGAGATAATTGTCTTAAGTTTATTTAATTAATAAATAAAATTTTTTGTATAATTATTAATTATTAATTATAACTAAACGCACATTGTGTAATAAAATTATTTAACAATCGAGACTGCAGGCAGAATAAGATTAGTTATAATAAAATAATAATTATAATAAATTTCTGTTTTGTTGACGTATTTAAAGTTAATTTTTTTATTTTTTAAATAAATATAAACTGAAAAAAAAAAAAATTAAAAAATATTATGAGAGTTTTAAGTAAGTAGATTTTTTCCAATCGCGCTCCAGATATTTTTTATTTGTTTTTAATTATTAATTATTAATTGTAAATACATAAATATAATCAATAGAATTATAGAACATACTGTATACATAATCAGCTCTGTATTATATTAATAATGATTTATGATAAATTACAAGAAAAAATAAATATATATTATAAATATATTAGGATATAAATTTTAAATATTATTATTAATATTATTATTATTATTGATTGTAATAACAATATTATTTATCATTATGTCGGATTTTATTATCAATTTTTTTGTGAAGAAATAAATTAATTATAAAAATAATTAAATAAATAAATTATTATTATTATAATATAATTATTGGATGATAATAATAATAATATCGTGCACACAACATAAAAAATACTAAATCCCTTATTCATGTACAATGCCCGACAAAACACCATTTTACATAAATAAATATTAATGATAATAATAATAATAATAATAATAATGATGATAACATACATATAGTTAAAAATCTTGAAGTTATAAAACATATTATTGTAGTAAATAGTCACTACGCATAAAATGCTAATATATGATGGTGATTTGCAATGAATTTATGTTCATTATTAATTGTTTTCTGTACAAAAAACAAAACTTAATTAAACGATTTCAATCCCAATTTTTTGATTGTTTTTAATTTTCCTTTCTCATAACTTTCCTTTAATTTTAAAAAATTAAAACATAATTTAAAATTTTATGAGTTAAGAAAAAAGACACAAAATCTGTGTCAGTTTTTTTTTTAATTAAAAAAAAAAGTAGTTTAAGTGGAAACACCACTGTGACGAACGAAAAAAAGAAATGATTTTCGGGAATTTTTTTGACAGACAAAATAAAGGAATTTGGGAATCGGGTTTTTTTTTATTTTATTAAGGGTACATTAAAGATTATTACCCTAAATTTTTATTAAAAAATATTTAATTATTACAAAGTTACTAGCGGACCGGACAGACGTTGTCCTGTACACACGTCTTAAATTTAGAAATTTTAGGAATAGAGCTTGTATAGTTAAAAACATCATTAGTTAACAATATGCAATGGACATTCCTCAATAATTAATATTTTCGTGAATATAAGCCCATTCTGATTTTATACTCATCGAGACCTTTCATTTGAGTACCCACATGAATTTTTTTATATATTTTATATATATGATATTTATAAAATATATGAAAAATTGATGTGGGTACTCAAATGAAAGGTCTCGATGAATGTAACATCGGAATGAGCTTATATCTTTAAAAATGTCAATAATTAAGAAATTACATTGTATCTCGTCAACTAATGATATTTTTAAAGATATAAGCTCATCTAGACATTACACTAATCGAGACCTTTCATTTGAGTACCCACATCAATTTTTCATATATTTTATATATTTATATATATGTATACATGAAAAATATATCAAAAATGCATGTGGGTACTCAAATGTAAGCTCCTGACTAGTGTAAATACAAAAAATTTTTATTTTAAAGATTTTTTTAGCCGGGTTAAAACAAAAAAAAACAGTAAGAATAGTGAGAATATTTTCAATCAGTCGCTATTTTTTAAAAAATTAAAATTTTCAAAATTCCGTAGGTGCGACGATAATTACATCCTTACTGATTAAAAAGCAATTTGGGTTTTTATTTTCAGATAATCCGTTTTTGAGTTATCGAACTGACCATGGAGGGGGAATTTTTTTCAAATGCTCAACGAGATTGTTAATAACTTTGTAATAATTTAATATTTTTTGATAAAAATGCAGGATAATAATCTTTAATGTACCCTTAACAAAATAAAAAAAATCCGATCCCCAAATTCCTTTATTTTCCCTGTCAAAAAAATTCCCGAAAATCGTCTCTTTTTTTCTATCGTCACAGTGGTGTTCCCCCTTAATGAAATATCTCGAAAACTATTGAAAAATTATTGTGAAAAATTAATCGGATTAATTTTGGGAGTCAAGGGGGTATTCTTGTCTAGAGGCCCGAATTTTAGGTGATTTTAGAAGTGCCGTAAAAAAAGGCAATCAATATTTTTACCATCTATTTTTTATGAGTTATTTATTAACATTACAAGAATACATAAAAAAATTAAAAAAATTGAAAATTCAAAAAATTAGCAGCTGATTAAATTAATAACGAAAAGAATTTTTTTTTAAGTTTCTACGACTATTTCTTGCTGAGTTATTAATTATTGAAGAGCAAAAAACAAGAAGATATATAAGTTGGGCCGCGTGCAAATAAATGCTGTAACTAGAGAAGCAATAAATATTTTTGTTTTATTCTGTAAGTAACAGATTTATTTTTTTGAATTTTAATTTTGAAAAAAAAACCAAAAATC